CCCCCCCACCCCACCCCGAGGACCCCGACTTCCCTATGCTTACCAGGTCAGAGCTGCGGGGTTTTTTAAATGGCGCCCAAGATGATGGCTGTGTTAAAGGGGCAGCCTCCTTTTTTAAACTTTTGTTTTTTGTGTTTTTTTTTTGTTTTGCTCCACAATTCTGTTCTGGGGGGCTTAACAACTTTGGTCTCCCCCCCCCTCTTTTTTTTTCCTTTGCAGAATTTTTTCCTGGTGTTTTTTTTGGGGGGGGGCAGTGTTCGGTATTTTTTGTTAAACCATCTGGCAACCCTACCTGCCATCCAGCCACTAATCCACTCTCCCCTCACCCACCCACATGGAGATTGCTGTATCTGTTCCCAATGGCGGTGTGGAAGGTTTAGAAATTCAGCTCATGTAAATCAACCCTGCTCCACTGACTTCAGTCGAGCTATGCTGGTTTACATCAGTGAAGATCTGGCCCTTAATACACAATAGAACATCTTTATATAATCAGTCTGTATTGATCTGAACTTAATAGCTTCCCCAACAACCACAAATGACTGCAAAATGAATGTCTGATTTCACATGGTAGCACCAAAACAGGATATCCTCATCATGCATTTCATTGCTGAAGAGAGAGGCACGTGATAGGTAAGCATTTCAACAGAGCATAAGGAAGTTCAGTGACCCACTCCCGTTGACTCTCCCTGGCACTTGGCTCTTCATAAAAACTAACAAATACGGGGTTGATTTTTATTGGGCAGGAGCCTTCAGATTTCACATTTTTAAACCTTTCCTCACAAACATGACAGCTAGAAGCTTCCTTTTTAAAAAAAAAAAAAAAAAAAAAAAAAAGCTCAGATTCTTGTATCACTGGATGAATCCAGGAGCTGAGGGTTTAAGAAACGCCAACTCTTACGTTAATGCAAGCCTCAGGAGGGGCTGATGGAGTGACATTTTCACATGGATGGGCTTTGGTTAACTGAAATCTTTTCTTCCATCACATCCTTGTGAGAATCAGTTTTATTGTAATAACCTTTTCTTCCCTGCATTCTGTCCAAAGTTAACAGCTTCCCAATTGGGTGAGACAGATACCAGATGCATCTCCAAACCACCCAGGCTGTGAATTGCCACCCAGCTTGATATATACCAAGTTCCTTTATCTCTTTCTTCACAATAGTTCTCAAAATTCAGCTCTTCCCAAGAGTATCACCTCCACAATGACCATGTGCCACTTTTCTTGTTCACCATACTGTGACTATTTATTTGTGCCTTTAGATTGTAAGATCTTTGCATCAGGGATTCTGCCTAGCTAGGAATATCCCCTTCTACAAGGGGATTCTTGGGCCATCAAGTCTAGTCCTTTGCTATCACAGACAATCCTATCTTTTTTAAAATCCATTTAATAAAAAATTATCAACCTCTAACTCAAAACTAGCTACATATATTTGGCATTGGAAAAGGTTCAGAGAAGGGCAACAAAAATGATTAGGGGTTTGAAATGGGTCCCATATGAAGAGAGATTAAAGAGAATTGGACTTTTCATCTTAGAAAAGAGGAGACTAAGGGGGGATATGACAGAAGTCTAGAAAATCATGACTGATATGGAAAAAGTGAATAAGGAAATGTTATTTCCCATAATATAAGAACTAGGGGTCACAAAATTCACACAGCTCACAGTCAACCCGTGGAACTCCATGCCAGAGGATGTTGTGAAGACTTTAACAGGGTTCAAAAAAGAGTTAGATAAATTCAGCTATTAGCCAGGATGGATAGGAATGGTATTCTTAGCCTCTGTTTCTCCTGTCATCCATTTCCAAACAGGGATCACATGATGATTACCTGTTGGGTTCACTCCTTCTGCGGTATCTGGCATTGGCCACTGTCGGAAGACAGGATACGGGGCTAGATGGACCTTTGGTCTGACCCAGTATGGCTGGTCTTATGTTCTTAGGTTGTTTACCAGTCCCCCACACCCATTGGAATGCTACCCCAGAAATGTGGCAAATGTTGCCTACTGTAAAACACCATGCATAGAAACAATACAATGGGAAATGTTTCTGGCAAAACCATCCCATTGGCGGAATGATATTCCAGGAACCATATTAGGGTAGCTATATCCAATTAAAGTCAACATAAAATAATCGGAGAGAGGAAGCATGTTGTGTTGGCTCCAGCCAGCTGAGACTGGTTCATCCAGCTCTATAAAGTTGCTTGGACAAGCCACTCAACTTCTCTGTAAAATAATACTTCCCTGGCCTATGGCACCATGAGGCTTAAGTCATCGATGATTGTAAAGTGCTTTGGTGAAAGGCTGTATCACAATGCCAAGTTTTATTCAGAACACAAAAAGGATGTGCTCCCCAAGCCATGAAGACCAACATGTAGGGATGTAAGCAACTAGTCGACTACCTGATAAGCTTAGGCCTATCGAGTATTCAAGTCACTACTCGACTACTCACTCCTCCTCCCCCCATTGCTGCCTCTATCAGAGGCAGCAAGTGTGGGGAGCAGGAGCCAATGTGGGGGAGAGGGGAAGTGCTGGCTTAAAATCTGGTTTCCCCCAGCACTATCTCCCTGTGAGGGAGGAGAGGCAGAGGCGCAGCAGGGAACCTCGTGGTGGCTCTTACTACATTTAAAAAGCAGAGGCGCAGTGGGGTTAGCTCCTGAGTCTATGCGAATGGGGAACTGCAGTGCTGCAGTGGGGGTAGCGAGCGCCCCCCCCCCCCCCCATTAACAAATCGAGTGGAAATTCCATCGACTAATCAATTTGCTGATTTATCTGCATTTTAACATCCTTACTAACAAGGCCTTGTCCTTGTAGGGCCAAGATGAGTTCACCCAGTGATGCCAACATGGAAGAGATCTCTCTGGAGGATGAGAACCGAGACACTGTAGAATACAAAGTTCTCATGGCCTATGCCCAGCGACGACTCTCTGTGAGTAAATACAGGCAACTTCTGGAAAGGGAGGCGAAGACCCAGAGGGGATCACCTACAGAGAGAGGAGAAAGGGAAAAGATCCCTCAAGCAAGTAAAGGTGAGACGCACCAAGAGCTGTCAATCCAGGGCAAAGAGCCTGTGGTCCAATGTAAAAAGCGAAGGAAGAAGTTCATTTGGAAATGCCTGCTGCTTCCCTCCTGTGCCAGAGGAGAAAGAGAGGAGGGCCCACAGGCCTTAGTCCCAAACCGAGACACGGTGAATGGGTATGTCTTAAAGATGCCACTGGCAATCCGGACAACAGATACGTATTCTCCAAAGGAGGAAGGTAGGCCCCTGAATAGTTTCTATTTCTGTTGCTAGTCCCTCCTTCAGGCTGAATTCTATTTCTCTTCCAAATAGCTTATTGGTAGCTGATACTGCTATCTTTCTCCTTGAATTGTTAATGTATTCTTTCAAGCTAGCTGTGAGAATAAAACCGCCCATCTTGCTCCCTACACAAAATACAGAGAGAAAGCCAGTTCATAGAATCAGAGAACTGGAAGGGACTTGGGGAGATCGAGTCCAGTCTCCTGCCCTCACAGCAGGACCAAGCACTGTCTAGCTCATCCCTGACAGGTGTCTGCCTAACCGGCTCTTAAATATCTCCAGTAATGGAGATTCCATAACCCCCCTAGGCAATTTATGCCAGAGTTTCACCACTCTGACAGTTAGGAAGTTTTTCCTAATGTCCAACCTAAACCTCCCTTTCCGCAGTTTAAGCCAATTGCTTCTTGTCCTATCCTCAGAGGCCAAGGAGAATAATTTTTTTCCTCCTCCTTATAACACTCTTTTAGATACTTGAAAACAGCTATAATGTCCCCTCTCAGTCTTCTCTTTTCTAAACTAAACAAGCCCAGTTCTTTCAGTCTTCCCTCATAGCTCATGTTCTCTAGGCCTTTAATCATTTTTGTTGCTCTTCTTTGGACCCTCTCCCATTTCTCCACATCTTTCTTGAAATGTGGTGCCCAAAACAGAACACAATACTCCAATTGAGGCCTAATCAGCACAGAGTAGAGCGGAAGAACAACTTCTTGTGTCTTGCTCACAACACTCTTGTTAATGCATCCCAGAATCATGTTTACTTATAATATATCTTGTAGTCTCCACAATCTGAACCTACACACTGGCCATGAACATTCTGCCATAATTGTACAATTGCACAGCTTTGCTCTTCCAAGTGCTCACTTTCAGTGTATACATATAAAATGATGGGGCCTAATTTACCTCAAAAGAGAAATCTTGAAGTCACTGTGGATAATTCTCTGAGAACGTACACTCTGAGCAGCAGCAGTCAAAAGAAAACAATGTTGGGAATTATTAAGAAAGGATAGAGAATAAGACTGAGAATATCTTATTGCCTCTATATAAAACCATGGTACGCCCACATCTTGAATACTGCATTCAGATGTTGTCGCCCCCATCTCAAAAAAATATATTGGCATTGGAAAAGGTTCAGAAAAGGGCAGTAAAATGATTAGGGGTATGGAACAGCTACCTCTTGCCCTAGAATGGGGTGGGGAAACCTCTTTTCTATCAGGTGCCATTGACCTTCAAAAAAAATCAATTGGGGGCCACATGCAGCCCTGCAGGGAGGGAGGGTCTGGGCTTGCCTTACAATCTGGGGTGGGGCCAGAAAAGCAGAGTTCAGAGGGCTGGAGCGGGACGGGAACTCTGGGATGGGGCAGGGGGTTGAGGTGTGGGAGGAGCTGAGGGCTCTGACTGCGGTTGTGGGGCTGGGGTTGGGAAGGATGTGGGAAGAATTTCAGGATGAAGGCTCTGGGAAGGCATTTGGGTGTGGGAGGAGGCTCAGAGTTTGGGTGTGAGTCTTGGAGGGAGTTCCAACCTGGTGCATTGGGTTAGGGTGTCTTTGGGGGTTCAGGTGTAGGCTCTGGCCGGGCAGCACTTACCTTGGGCAGCTCCTAGTCGGTGGTGCAGCAAGGACTAACAAGGCTTCCTGCCTTCCCAGGCTCTGTATTACTCCTGGGGGGTGACTATCTTGTCCGGTCCCTAGTCCGAGAAGGAACCTGGTCCAGGTAGCTCTGTGTGGTGCATGCTGCCCATGCCCTCAGGCACCACTCCAACAGCCAATGGGAGCTGTGGAGCCAGCATAGGATATAGGGGCAACACATAGAGCTTTCCTGATCGCTCCTCCACCTAGAAGCTGCAGGGACATTCGGGTATGAAGCGCTTGTGGCTCCTGCCCCATGGAGGACTGAGGAGCACCAGAATTTAGGGGTTCCAGCCCACCGCACAGAGACTTGTTGTGTGCCAGATGAAATGAAACAGCAGATTGGATTCAGCTCACAGGCAGCATGTTCTCCTCCTCTGCCCTAGAGCACAAAGATCAAGATAGGGTGATACATGTACCTGCTAAGCTAGGCCATGCTACCTCCTGCAAGGCAGCCACAATGATTCTGCTCAGGGTATGACCTCTACCCCAGCGTCGGTATTATTGGCTGAATTACCTTCTGTGGTAATGTGTATTGCCTTCTCTCCCACTACTATATTTACAGGGACTCCAAAATCAACCCATAACTCCCACCGTCAGTCCAGACACCCTTCCCAAGCATCTAGGAAGCCACCCAGCCAGTCTCTGCCTGTGTCTCCCACCCTTGTGGATAAAGGGGGGCCTAACCTGACTCTGCCATGAGCAAGGCCAACTGCCCACCTCCAGAGGCTACATCCTACCATAGCCTTCATTGTTTCACTTCTCTCCCAGACTTCAAAGGAGGTTGTGCTGGCCTGTTGTTAGTAATGTGACGTTCCTTTCAACGTACCACAGATCAACCAGCAGGTGGCAGTGCGAGCTTAACCAAAAATGCCATTTGGCCTAACCTGACTCTGCCATGAGCAAGGCCAACTGCCCACCTCCAGAGGCTACATCCTACCATAGCCTTCATTGTTTCACTTCTCTCCCAGACTTCAAAGGAGGTTGTGCTGGCCTGTTGTTAGTAATGTGACGTTCCTTTCAACGTACCACAGATCAACCAGCAGGTGGCAGTGCGAGCTTAACCAAAAATGCCATTTTCTTCGTTTGGCATCCATATCCATGGAGGTTTGGCTTTAAAACCAGGCTTTGCCAATATAGTAGCAAATCATGGTTTTAGGGCTTGATACACTGGACACTCATTTGCAGGGGAAACTGCAGGAAGGGGGGGGAAGGTGCTGGCTATGATCAGAGGGGGGGGGGAGGCAGCTCCGCAGGATCCAGGGC